ATGGCTATATGATGGGGTTTTTTAAAATTATTGGTGTGAAAACACATTTCACTGACATCTAGTGGGGTGTAACACTACCGTCCCAGCTCACGTGTACGTCTGGCGGCTATCATGTTAGCCCGTAACTTTCTGAATTCGAGTGGCTATTCTGCGCACGTGGGGTACTATATTACGGAAGGATATCCGCTTGCTTCGGTGAGTATATATAGCGTAATGCGCACATAAGGATGCTTCTCCTTATAATTATAATAATAAAATGCCTTGTCAGTAAGGATTTGACGCCATGTTTCGCAATGGCTGATGTACGTCATTCGCTTCGTTGTTGACACTACCATGCCGGTCCCTTGAACTATCCGGCATTTTCTTCTGTCCTTCATTTTAACTGTCACCATTTTTGCCACGACGTTCCTCTAAGGTATGTGTGTCTAGTGAGTATTGTCATTCTCTGAGTTTCATTTGTTTTTCTCCTTGGCTTTTTTCAAAAAGTTTTCTTCTGTCATTTTAGCCATCCCCGGTTTTTTCAAAGCCCTCTCCAGAAATCACCTTTGGGTTGCCTCTAACAGTGTTTCTACACTTATGCATTTTAGCATTATAGCCACTAACAGATATTACAAGTATGCTTGCCAAATGTTTTCTAATTTCACGATCAAGCAAGAATAAATCTATTGTCAACAATTATTCATACTACATGCGTGTTTCGCCTTGTCGAATGATGTTTTTATGCATGCACATGATATCACTGTGTAAGTATATTAAAACAACATAGCAGTATACCTATATATTACATATTAACAATTTACGATGACATATTTCAGAAAAGATCTCGGCAACGACTAAGTTTCGGCAGTACTCCGTAGAATACCTGTCATTTGGATTCATCGTATCACTTCAAAACCCCACTCTACCTATGTGTTTAATTTGTTAAAACACTTTCAAATGAAAGTATGCGACCACATAAACTGGCAAATCGTTTGAAAAGTATTTATAAGGGCGAAAGCGGAAAGTCTATGGATTTTTTTTACAAAGCTGCGGGATAGCTTCGAAAACATACCGACTTTACAGACAATAGTTGCTGACAAGGCAAGAATGGCAAATGGACTTACGGCGTCTTATAAAATCAACAAATTGATTGCCAAAAATTGCTGTCCACGTAATGTTGTAGAAATATCATCGTGCCTTCACTATCAAGAGTACTGTCTGACCTGATGTATATGAATGCACAAGAAGCAGTTTAAGCCATTCTGCTCAACCACTCAACTGTACCTAGGCGAATCGATGAGATGACTCAGGACATACAAAGTACCTTAGTTCCCTTATTACAGTCCAGAAACTTTTCGTAACTGGTAGATTAATCTACTTTATTTGATAACGACGCTCTTTTCGCGGCATATATTCTATTCTTCAACGATAATGGATTAATGGAAGAGATGCTGCTTGCCAGGATATATAAAACTCAGACAAATGGTCAGTCTGTATTCGTGGTAGTTAATGGCTATCCGCCTGAAAACTCCATCACAATGCAAAACATAGTTGCAAATGCAACAGGTGGTGCTACTGCAATTGTCGGAAGATATAGAGGGTTCATTGCTCATCTAAAAAGTGTTGGCCCTTATACCATTCACTGTGTGATTCACCGAGAGCACCTAGTGGCTAAGAACGTGTGAGGGCGCTTAAACGACTCACTGTTAACATTTATAATAGTAGTTAACAATATCAATCCGCATCCTTTTCATGATCGTGTTTTCCAGCAGTTGCGTGAGGAGAACATTGAAGAATTCCAGTTTCTATTTTTGCATATGTAGAAGTTAGGTGGCACTCCAAGGGCAACTGTATTCGCCGTTATGTTGCACTCTGGGACACCATCATTACATTCTTTCTCGAACTGATTATGAAAGAAAACGGTGTACAGCTAAGCCAGATTTGTTTTATCTGGCTGATAATTTCGAACAATCACATATTGAATAAAACTTTTCAAAGCAATTTGAGTAACCTCATCTCGAGCAAACATCCGACTATCGCTTTTCTTAAAAAAACTGGTGGTATATGCACAGAACATCGGACGTCCGGATTTTTCAGAGTTCCCAATCGATTGTTTATGCCAGCCGTAAATACGAACTCCGAAGAGAAATGAAAGACAGGTTTCATGATCAGATTGACATGGAAATCCAAATTCAGGTTTTGGATCCCTTTAATGTTCAGCCCTGCGATGTTGGCGCTGAAATCCTGGAAAGTCTCCTAGAGCTTAAGAATGACACACTAGCACGATCCAAATTCGCGCTATGTAAGAGGGATTTTTGGATATACTGATGCCCGAGCCTGTGGGAAATAGCTGAAATACATTTCCTTGCTTTTGCACCCACCTACATGGTTTCATGTGGATTCAGCAGACTTTTTTCCCTAAAAATAGTAGCAACTCATTGGACATCACAGCAAGAGGAGATATTCGACTTTCGCTGTCAAGTCTGGAGCCGGACGTAACCTAGCTTGGTCAAAGTCATCAGGCTCAAGGCTCGCATTAATATCTCGACAAACATATTCTTACGAGGTTATTACACCTCTTAATTCATGACATCCCTTACAGTTAAACGCCAACAATAATTAAATACAGTTTTAAATATTAATGATAACTTTTGGGTAATTACAGAAAAGTGGCTTGATGTTGCCGTACAATGAATTTCATATTGAAGCTGTGAAAGTTAGAAAATGGGGGTTATAATTGAAACAACAGGGATACCAAGACTACAAGCTTAGCCGTCATAAAAGGTTTACCAATATTATCACTGGGATTCACAGATTTCCGTCTGTTAGGCGTTGCGGATTGTTGATTGTGGTGACCAAGCGTGGGGGGCCATGCGAAATGGAAAGGTTCGAATGGGGCGCACGATTGAATGAAGGTTGAGAATGATTGGTTTAGACCATCTCCGTGTGTGGGTGTACATGGTTCTCTGGGTTGTCGACTCTCTTAATGATTTCCCAACGTCCTGCATCCCCAGCAATTTCACTTCACCACCCGTGTATGCAGTCGCGAGAACGCCCGTCACAGCTTCGTGTGGCTCATCGGGCCAATATTTATCACCAATTTCGTTTGTTGCACTGCGTTACTGCACTGCCCGTGTCAAGTTCGAATTTCATCGGAATCAGGTTAACACAAAGCTGTGTGCAAAATGTTGTTTGTGCGAGTGGGATAGTTGTGTGTAGTATATATTACTGTGTTCAAAGGGAAACCGAACTCTTAAGATGGCGCGCCAATCTGCAGAGAACGCCCTGCTGCTGCTGCTGATGGCACCCCAACTAACTGTCATAGCGAAACGCGGCAAATGGCAGTTTATTGTGTAAACAGGGTTCTACGTGACCTCTTTAGCCGCGGGACACTGCCGGTTGGCGTGCTACTTCAAATGTTCCTGTCGTTCAGTCGCAACAAGTTGTTCGTCTACTACCATAGATCGTGGGTTCTTACTGGACCATCACATACGGGCCAAATACCCACGTTTTTGGCATTTATTACCAATTGTTTGGACTTGATTGCAGTCTCTGAGCTGACTGTGCTGCAAGGCGCATTTATAACAGGGGAATGATAGCTTGCTCTTTTTATCCACTTGTTGACTTAGACCTGGGGATCTTCGGCACGTGTTTTTGAATTCAGCTGCAAAGTCTGAAAAAGTTGCGCATTATTTTCATCGGCCTCTATGCCTCTACGCACTTTTCAGCATCACAGGCATCGCTGAATGAGAACATTTTTCACTCCGACCACCAGACGATCCTCGATCATGTCGTTTTAGTAGTTGCCGAAAATACAATATTCCGTTGCTTTCTGAAGCTCGGCAACTTACTCCCTCTCATCCTGAACGCGGGTATTAAAGTTAAACCGCTGCACAATCACTGACGGTTTTTGGTTGTACTGATTAGGGAGCAGTTTGACCAATTCATCAAATTGGTTGGTGCGTGTCAAATCTGGAGTCACCGTGCTGCGAATTAGTTTGCATGTTTCTATGCCACAAATCTTCATCAGGATGTTCATTTAGCGATTCTCACTGACAATTTCCGAGCAAAATACAATTTAGACATTTAAGGTAAGTGTTCCAGGAACCGGATCCGTCGTGCTCTTCCGATCGAAGCCATGTTGGGTCTAATTAAATCGTCGTCAGTGTTGTAAGAACACGACTCTTAAAAGGACTCGGCTGCAATGCGTACACATGACCACATCGTTGTCTGTTTGATTACAAGCTCTTTTATTCACACGCGAGTCACGTGCGTTGTTGGACAGGCGTGGTTCTTGCTAACCAATCACAACAGTCAGTAGGTCATATAACGAAATAGTAAGTCGTCTACTCAACGAACGGAGATGATACAAAGTGGGCTGAACGAATCACTTGAAACGAATGATGCCAAATTCGAGCTTCTTTGTAGACTCGGTTTGACCTATACGAGCTGTGTAACTAGACTTACGCGTATCACTTACGCTACCGAATTACGAAATGTGTGTTAGCACGGTAGTTGCCTTGTGGGATGTGCGAACTAGCATTGACGTGCGAGATACTCCGGTATGAATGGGAGTGAGATTCGTCCAATGGGGTGGACAGCGTTCTTGTGTAGACCCCATTGCACTATTGTCTGATCATCACAATCCGCTGTAGTCACAGCAGAATTGTTATTTCGATGCGGGGGCCAGGTACCAAGGACGATATTGACGACACCTCGGTGGTGCATGATGGTTGATTTATCTAACACTTTGTTTGTACACCTCTTACTTCACCTGCACGATTGCGCAACTCTCGTTAATCCATTCACATTAGCCCGCCTTATTACCTTCACTTGTCTCCATGTCTTCCCTTTTTCACACTTCTCACTGACTCTATCCGCTGGTGCTTAGCACCTCTGTTGAGTTCCAGTTATTCGATACCTTTTAATGCAGTGTCTATTTCGTATTGCAGAGCTATGTTACCAAGCTCACCATTCTGTGTAGATGCTTATGTCATTTACTCTCCAAAATTCCTTCACAGATCTACGTCTGTAAACGACCACACCTGGATGCCTTTCTGAACGCCATTGGCTCCCTGTTCGAATGTGTCATGTTCACAGCCAGTTTACGCAAAGTAAGTTTGTGATTGACATTGTTAGATACAAATCTGACGCCCGCTGCTACTGAGATGCACGAGATTTAACTTTCACTTCCTCCATGGCCTTAACAATCCGACGGTTAGGATTCATGGACTGGAGCACTGTCGCGGATACTTCCGAGAGAAAAGTGCACTGGATCACTTTGGTTTGAGTGCCGTTGCTCGAAACTTTCATCCAATGATATCTGAATCAAAGTTTAACTTGATGGCGCTACCAATCCGCATAAGATTCTTTGCAACCTCATCATATTTCATCGGGGGCGGTCATCCTGTAGCCCTCATTGTGCGCGAATTGTGACATCCAATCTCAATTTGGGTCGCAATTCTTTTTCTAGAAAACCAGTCGTTTCGGATACTCGGATTGTATCTGAAACAAACAGACGGATGTTATCTGTTGCCCGCTCGCCACAGTACACTGCACGATTGGTTTCGTGCTTTTGCACTCGTACGTGCGAATGCATCGTAGTGAACTCCATTGAGTCACTGACCAAGGTGAAAAGCGTTACCCGCTGCTCAATGAACTAAAGGTGATCTCTACGCCCCGGACTCGAGTCGCAGTTTTACCTTTCATGGTTGATGGGTACAAACACTTTCGACATCGGTCGCGTGATACATTGCGGAAAGCTGGCAACACTTAACACTTTCCTACTCACCTAATTTCAGTCGTCATCGGAAGCTGTTTCCGCACTGAGGTTCTCAAAAAGCAAGCGCCAGATGCACTATTCGTTGCATTGCCACCGTTCACTAATCTCATGTGTGTGTGTATGTGTTTGAGGTGGCTCTTTCCCTGCATCCGTTCTATTTGTACGTAACATTGTGCGGTTGTCGAGTGGTTCTGTTTCCATACACTGCATCATGCGGAGGTTGATGTTGCCTTCATGATACTTCTTCACCGCAGTTAGGCTAAACCAACTTACACTTAATCTAGGTCTTTCTAGTCTGAATAAAATTCATTCCACGTTATTTGGTTTGTTTAAGTCTCTTTCTCTGCTGCATCTTCTGTGTCACGTTTGTGGGTTTACTTTCCCTTAAATTCTATGTTGGTTGTTTGATATCCCCGGCGTGATTGCGCTTGATGTGAATGTTACCAAAGTGCCTACCTGTTTAACACCCTCCACCTCGATTGTTCGCTCCAGGAGGCTGTGAATCGTTGCTGAGGCGGAACGGGGTGCACGGTCCTCGTTGCCGTGCTGGACTCAAAGAGTAGTTCCATGCACTCTGTGTGGAGCGGACTATAGCTCAGCCACCGCCTTGCGTACGTCTGGTACGCGTGAATCTCTACATAGATGGACAGGAGTGTTGCTTCTGTGCATCTTGGATGAGTGTGGGCCTGCTCCGTTGGTGAGACGCAATTCCCATCCGTGTGCCTTCCGGTCTTATTCCTTCGGGTTTACACTGTATATGTTGTGTGGATGTGTGTGGTGCATTGCAAGCCACTCATGGTCCCTCGATAGGCACAAGCGTCCTGTGGCTGTCTCCGGGAACGCCGCAGTGTTAGGCAACTCAGGATGCTGCCAACCATGTATGGAGCAGTGTTAGTGTCTCTTTCAACCCGAATACTTCAATGAGCCGTTGGCAAGACGAGATTTGTGCATCGAACAGTGCTGTCGAGGTAGTTTAGATCGATGACATGTTCGTCTGAAGTGAAGTTGGTTATCTTACCGGGGTATTCTGCCGGTTTTTAATCAGGTGAACCTCTAGTCAGCCTATGCTGGCCTTGCATTATTCTGCTTCACATACAGATCACGTGAGTATTGACTAAGCTCAAGTACTTATACACATTTGGTGAAACGTTGACACTACGTATTTTGTTGGGCATTCATGTTCCTTTTTGCCAATGTGAATGTTTGATCGGTTTTTTCTCATGCGCCCCACTAACTCGTACTCCTCAGCGAACTTTTTTTATTCTTTGTTATTTCCACCTACTTGGTAGTGTGACAGTATAAGCAATTGAATGTACTCATCTGCACATAGTCCATGTGTTTGTCTTTGAGTATCGTATGATTTTTTTCAACTTACGAAGCCTGATACTGTCAGCGTTATCCTGTACAGCGTACGTATCATGCTGCGAAATGTACTGCATTTAACTGGTTCTACATGCAGCTATTAGATAAGTGTCTAGGTCTATCAAATATGGTCATAATTCCACTACCATTCGCATGAAATCACAAGGGTCCAATCTTCCGTTGGCTCCATTAGCTTCAGAAAACATTCTAACCATGTTCTTACTATTTTGAACTACACATGAGCCGGCTGCAAAACGCATTCATTTTACTGCCTCGTTGCTTCACTCTTTGCTGACTTCAAGAAGTAAGTAGGTTCGTGAATTTAGGAAAGCAGTGTCATCGCACTCGCCCAATCCCCACACCTATGTGCGGACCGTTGGGTTTATCAAGATCGTGCCATCTCTGTGTAAACTTAGCACATGGTTATAATAGCATTGCCCTTACTCTCTGGGCCAAGATGACACTACAGTAGAGTGAAGATGCTAGTATCTGATTTCCCTCAACATGACGTCGTTTATATCCAGTGGGACCACTGGACGTGCTATTCAGTTTTTCATAGTATATTCTTTTGGTTCCCACTTCATTTTCGATATAGCTGCAACGAGCGCGCCCACTTCGTTTATCTAAGACTCTTCTGTTCTCCGAGAATGTGCATAACTTGGCTCGTTTCTCGACGACCATCACTTGCGTCTCATGTTCTCCAATTCTAGTACACATCTTCTTCGCGGTTTGACCAACGTCTACGTGAGCAGTCTCTGTAACTAATTTTGTAGACGCAGTTGGTCACCATATCTGCGGGAAGCGAGTCTCAACTACACCAGTGTCGGATGGACTGTTTGACTCTGTTGAAAAGTTATGTATTTCTTGACTTAATAACAGTATTTTCCCATGATGGGGTATCAGTCAGTATTTACATAGCATATATGCTCTCACATGTAGTCATTCAAGAAAATAGTTATATTATGCACTGCTATGCTCGATATCGTAGACCACCAATGTCTCTAAAAATCGCCCTTTGGCTTTTCTCAATGACACGGTCTTACGGTGTCCACGTCTCTCAGGGGCAGGATGGAATATTCAACTAATGAGGAGAATTTGCATTATGCTGTAGCGGCAATTCGGTTAACCTCCCACTTGGTATGCTCCAATAGATGTGAGTGAGAATGAGAACTGCGCATGAATACGTAAGACAGCGCACGATCACTGAAGTATTTGACTGAGGAAGTACCAGTGTCTACTTGTTGTTGATGCAAGCTGGTCAGCATTGTTTAAACGACGTCATCCGATTTACTTAGCCGCGCTGTGACACTGCACGTCCGTTGGCAAGGTGTCCCACTGCACTTCGTCCAAGCTAAACTATCTCCCTAAAACCGCTTACTGCATTATGCGGGTGCTCAAGTCCTATCGGCCTTAATTCCTTATATCAGCTGTGGTAGGTTTTGCACGCCAACTCGTATCATTTCCACGTTCCTTTGGTGAACGCCATATCAAAATGATTCCACCTTAGAATCACAAGTCAGCTAAGCGAACAAGCTTGTTTTTGGTGGCTCTTATCAAGCTTGTACACCGCAACCGATAGCTAGGAATAAAATTGGCTCAGGTTGTTTGAACGTGGCAAGTCAACAAAACAAATTGCCTAATCAGAATGATAACATGGTCTCGCTGCTCGGGTAACGTTGTGGACGATGGTGTTAGGCTAGACGGATTGTGACCACGCCTGCTGGAAGGCTCGGACGAATTTGTTATGCTCGCATAAGTCCGGATTACGCACCCGAAGAGCGATCGCCTCTGTTGTCGCTAGCAGGCTGTATCTGAATGCTCGCGTGTGGTGTACAGCTATTCCTTAAATGGGCTGAAAATCTTACTACTCGTTGAATTCTGAAAATAGAGCGCTAACAAAAGTACATTTGTGTTGCTCCATCTACATACCCTCGTACACATACGCAGAGTAACGTCATGTATTACTGTCAACAGTGTTCAATTGTGTGACTTCCTATTCATGTGCGATGCGCTCTCGAAGTCGCTATTCCGCAAAGTGGGTGTCAAGAAATTTCCTGAATTCTGACACCGATTTCGCCTCTGCTGTTGCCTCGGGCAAACTGTTCCCCTATTTCATCACTCTACATTCGAAGCATAGTGGGTTAGCTATCCACTTCAAATCCGGTACCTCAAGTTTTTACTTGTGCGCTGGCTTGCAGCAGCGACCTCAGCACAGGGAAGTCACCCAGATGTAATGTCTTTTGTGTCGTTATGAGGTCTGCCTGAAGCCGGCCCTACGACAGCGTGTACAGCTCCAGTCTCCTGCATCGATCTTCTTACGACCTACCCCTTAAACTGAAGATGAGCCTAGTAACCAAAAGCTGAACACTTTCCGGTTTTTGAACCTTGCCATAAGTTATCGGACATAAGACAGGTGAGCAATGCCCAAGCATTGGTCTTATTATGGAAGTGACAGTCTCTTCAGACTGAGTGCAGAAGCTTCGTTTGAACTCCAAAAACATGCGTTGTCCGTTTCCCCATAACTTGTTCCTGTTATTCACGAACTTCATATCGCAGCTTGAGAGTACACTTAGATCATTCACGGAAGGTGTGAGATGGTGGCTGGTCGGCCCATCACCTCTCATCCTCAGGCTCATAAATAACGATCTGACTCGATTGACCGGCAAATCGACATTCTCAGATCACATGGACATTCGGTCGTGGTCCCGCTGAAATAAGTCGCAATCGTTGGGAGCACCAGCTACTTTCCATGTCTTCACGTCATCTGCAAACAAGCCACAAGGCAATCGAAGGAGCTGAGTTGCCCTGTTGTTCTGGATCAGTAACAAACTGGACCATTGTACTGTGTCTTTGGCTTTTACACTTTTATCAGGAATCCAGTCATTTAGACGATCATCCACCTGTACTTCCTACTTCCGCCCAATAAGAAATTCGCTGATCAATTGGTGCAGTGAGCCATCAACACCGCAT